AACTTATTATCCTCTCCAAGATAGACATCACTAGAATCCGTCACGGTTTCTATACTAGAAAATCTCTCAAATGTGTAGCTATTAGGCCTTCCTAGCAAATCATGATCATGGTAAGAAAATACATTATTCATGATCCGAGGAGGCTTTCCATTCCCTGGTATAAATAAAAACTAAGAGATTGATGAATTTGACCACTAGCTGGGAAATCAAAAGGAACTGCATAATTATAGACTACTTCTAAAATATATTCCTGATTGTCCCCAAAATACACTTTAAAATTCAAATGTATTACACGTCTATATTTGCTAAAAACATAATTTAGCCTACTACTAGCATAAACATCCACTACACTAATCCGCATGGGACGTGTCGTCATCTTTACTGCCTGTAAAGTTGTGTAAGGGTGAGTGTCTATTCTATTTTTCAATTACAACATAGATATATCAAAACATTTATCATAGTTATATAATTAAATATTAGTTTATACTACATTACCACACATCGGTCATTCTCATACCAACATATATGTTCACACAATCTCACCACACTTTTATCGTTCCCATTTTTAAACACACACTTTCAGTGCACTGTGATCACAGTCATTCAATGCCTCCAGGAGTTCTTAAGGTCTTACTCAATTATGTAAATAGTTGTTGGTTAACTCATGCAATACAGATACAACGTATGCAATCACGAACCCTTTAGCAAAGGCATAATGAGGAGTTTAGTTGGGAAACGAGTGTGAGGCCATGTAGCGCATTCACACTCAACAATAATATATGCATAATCGCGAATGTCGCTCACTATTCTGCATTTTCCTGAGATTTTCATATCGTCTCCAAACTCTATACCCTCAGTATATCTCTATAACTATTTATACTAATCTATTCATAAAATCATGTTTAATAGCACTTCCAAACTAATTCCATATTGCCCATCGTTTACTCATAATCTCAATAACCACATTATTTAATAAATCATCAATGACTCATTCATCATATTCAAATATTTCTCAATAATAAAGTCATATCACATTCAGTACATTTATCAACTTTCATCAAAACTTGTTTAATCATAATATCATGCTTTCTTATCATATATTTCATATTTATATAGTATAATTAGTCAACCAAAACATCAAACATATTCATACAAACAATCTTTCTTCATTATTACTTTTTACTCAAGCATATATCATTAAAGATACTATATAAACATACTCTCTGAAACTCAACACATAACCTATAACATATAATGATAAAATGGAGCTCCCTTTACCTTATAATGAATATTTAAACATAGATTGGTGATTAAAAATGTCCTAAACTGGCATTTTTACCTAGATAACACAAATTTATTTCTTAAGAACACGATTCAAAGAAAACAAAAGGTAAAAACGCAATTAAACTTAGGAAAACTTTCTTAGGATCACTTAGAACAAACTTATAACCTTTGATTTGGAGAATAATCGATATTTAGAGAGGTTTTATCTAAGAATATGTAGAGAGTATTTAGAGAAAACGAAGTCTGGATGTGAGAGAAAGTGAAGAAATGAAGTTTTCATGCATGAAAATCTTTAAATATTTTCAAAGTCGCGATATTATCGCTACAGCGAGACATCTTCTTGTTACAGCGAAAATATCATACAAAATTACATCTGTTTTATGCATTTTTGCTACAGCAATGGATCCTTGTTACAGCGAGACCCCTCTCGCTACAGCGGGACTTCTCATTGCAGGTGAGACAATCTTATCCACTTCTTTCACTACAGCGAGAAGTTCTTGCTACAGTGAGAAAGCTCTAGAATGTCCCAATTTCATTCCCTTATTCTCGCTATAGCAAGACTTATCTCGCTACAGCGACACACTCTCGCTACAACGAGAACCTTGCAATTCTAACACTTCAAAACTCTCCTAGCATCCCCTCACATGCATATTCATCATAACAATACAATTTTAATTAATATGAAAATAGGGATGTTACAACCCACGTCCATATACCTGAACTGAAGAGAACTAAACTAGATGATAGAAGTCACAAATGTATCTTACTTGAAGTTAGTGACGAATCCAAAGTTTACCATTTGTATGATCTAGTGTTGAATAAAATAACAACCAATAGGGATTTAATATTTGAAGGAGAAAAATGAAATTGGAACCTGAACTCAACAGAAACAAAATAAAATACTCATGATTGGGGTGATGATGGAACTAATATGGAGGATTCTGACGAAGAATTAGATGTAGAAACAAAAGTGAATAATGTTGGAAACTTTGAGCATACACTAGAGCCTAAGGAACAACTTAAAGGAGAAAGAAAAGCACCTAGTTGACTGTAGGACTACGAAAGTGTTGAGGGCCTCTTTGAAGAAGAACAAGAGGCAAATATGGTTTTGTTTATGTCAAATGATGACTACTCAAATTATAATGAAGCTACGAATGATGGAAAAAGGATAGAAACAATGAAACTTGAGATATATGCTATCAAGAAAAACAAGACATGTGAGTTAGTGACTATCAAAATATGCCAAGAAAATTAGAGTGAAATGGATTTACAAAACCAAATTGAATGAAAGAAGGCAAGGTTGACAAATACAGGGTTTGACTTATTACAAAAAAGTATACACAAACTAAAAGGACAGATCACAATGAAGTGTACACTTAAGTAACTCGATGAGACACAGTTGAGATCTTGTTAGCTGCAGCAGCACAATAAGGATGGAATGTGTACTAGCTAGATGTGAAAAGTGTCTTCTTATATGAAGAATTGAAGGAAAAAGTATATATAGACCAACCTAAGTGCTTCATCAAATAAGAAAAAAAAAAGACAACGTAATAGGCTGAACAAAGCCTTGTACGAGTTAAAGTAGACATTAAGAATATGGTTTAGCATAATTGAGAGTTATTTTTAGAGAGAAAGATTTACAAAGAGAAGTCATGACTATACTATATTCATCAAGAGAAGAAAAGATTAATCATGGTAAGTCTGTATGTTGATGACTTGATTTATATTGGGAATGATAAAGAATTGTGTACAAGGTTTAAGAAGTTAATGAAGGAAGAATTTGAGATGATAGACCTTGGCAAAATAGGGTTCTTCCTTGGAGTTGAAATAAGTCAGAGTGCAAATGGAATCCACTTATACCAAAAGAAATATGCAAAAGAAGTTCTAGAAAGATTCAATATGTGGAACTTTAGTGTCAAAAAATCCAATAGTGCCTAGAATTGTGTTATCAAGAGATGGTGGAGAAGATGTTGATACAACCTTGTACAAGCACTTGGTAGGCAATCTAATATACCTAACAGCTACACGTTGAGAGATGATATATGTTGTGTGTTTGATTTCACATTACATGGCTAATCCAAAGGAAAAACACATGCAGGTTACTAAAAGAACATTGAAGTATTTAAAAGGTACACTAGATTTTAGTTTGTTTTATAAAAAAAACACATTACTTGATATTTTTTTAAAATTACTTTAGTTGTTAAGAAATTTGAGCCCAACTTACTTTTAAAAATTAGTTATTAAAAGAGAGACTACCTTAACCTTTATAAAGAGTATTCTAACTTTAGTCTTACCTAATGTGGGACATCTTAACATGATATCAGTTTGAATGTTAGGCAACCTACAAATATCTAGTCTTGTTGTATCACTTGTGTAAATGTTCACTCCTTCAAATTTCACATACTAGATATCTAATCCTAAACGTGACATATGTGTTAGGATATCTCATATTGGCTCCTTATAAGGGTTAGGATTGTCATATTCCTAAAAGCTAGCTTTTGAAAGTAATTTAGGCTCAAATATCTTAACATTATCAAATAAATTCAAATGTCGAAAAAATTGAAAACATACATGTAAATGATCTTTAAGTTTCGTTATGATATTTAAAGGAAGTAAAATTAGCATAACAAGCGTTTTCATTTTCCAATATTTTTGTAAGATTATTTTACTAAATTACTTTTAGTTTTTCATTTAATTTATCATTTTTTAATAATATATATGATACAATTTTAAATATTTTAAATGAAACTCACTACTAACAAATTTATCTTACTTGAGTGTAACACAAGGGAACCATAACAATTCCCTTCAATGGAGCTTCTCAAGCTCTAACTCCACCAACGTATTCGTGCATGTACACATTCGTGAATTTGTTTAGAAGTTGATTCAAAAGCAAACCAACACAGTTGGTGATCATACGAGAAAATTTCGGCAGAAACTGGACGACGATTTGGTTGATTATGAGAGTCCTTTTAACCTAATGTATTCAGTATGTTGCCGAGGTTTTTCCACGTCCCCGAATACTACTAGTACTCGTACACGAGGGAGAGAGAGAAACTTAGGACGATTTGCTTAGAGATTTTTTTTAATAACAAAAATATGCTTTATTTTTATTTTTCAATCAATTGCATGAGGTTCGGTGGAAATAAAAAGTTGCTTTTTACTGTTTATTGTGCAAATCTTTAAAAACGAAGTATAAAATATAACAATTTAATATATAAAAATGCAGTTACGTGTATATAATTAATGAGTCTAATTCTTTGGCAAGTATTATATCAAATTAGTCCTAAATTATGAGCATACATTAATATAATTTTTAAAATTACAAAAAATATCATTTTAATTTCTAAAATTGTAAAAAAATATTTTAAAGTTACATAAAGAAAAAGCAAAATGAACAAATTTTGATAGTTGTAAAAATCAAAATAACATTTTACTTGTAACTTTAGAGTTCGATTGAATGAGATTTGTAAGTCGAGGGGTTTAGTGTAGTAGTCTATTAACTGAAATCTCCTGCACACCAATAATTTTCAGAAATTGACAGCGACTGAATTGGAGAAGACAGTTTATCGTGGAGGACATGGGTCTTGCTATTTGCCAGGCTACCAGGTGAGCACCAATTATCAATCCCAACCTCTTATTTTTCTGCATTTATTTTCTCTTCAAGCACAGCAAGAAATGAAGGAAAGAGAGATGGTGGTCAAAGCCGTGAATGAAATTTAGAAAAGGAATATGCTTCTCGGATTACGGGAACATAACTCATATATCTAATGAACACTAGCGGATAAGCTCAAATAACCAAAAGCTATCATCACTGGCAGTGTTTCAATTATGATTTAAAAATCCTAATCAACAGAAAAATAAATAGATAAATAGATAGATAGATTTAGACCTTGAGACTCCTAAATCGGCCCCAATAGTGCGTGTTAGATTTTAGAATTTGACCTCTAGTCACTACTTTGAACAATCATCATGCAAATACCCTGCTTCTGCATTGTTAAACCTAAAGCACATCATCACTGCTGAGTTTGGCCAGCCCATAATTGATGATGGTACATCGGCATATTATGAATGGGCTGGCTAGCATTATTGTAGAGTCCTGGACCCTTACTAAAAGGACCATTCTCATTGTCCTCAGAGGACTCAGTTGAAGGCCCTTGCGAAGTAGGACTGGTTGGAGTCAAAGGAGCACCAAACGTTAACATTTGGGTCGATGGCGTTGAAGAAGGTCCAGATTTCAGGTTACTTGAGCTTGACTTTTTGCCATCAGCAATAAAGCTACCCACAATCACCTGTTGATTATTTTTAATGAGTCACAAATGTAATCCGTCAGAGTTTGATCAACCCTACATGCAAAAATAGAATCTCCAATACCCAAGAACTTATTTATACACAATGCGCTCTTATAGAACATTTATTATCTATAAGTGCAGAAGGAAAATTCCAATATAGGTCCTTTGTTTTCAATTTGAAATAAATTTTTTACCATTTGAGAACAATACCTGCACTGGGCATGCTGCAGTAAGCGTTCCAGCAACTCCACCACCCAATACTCGTCCATCTGACCCTGCTAGAGACACACTCAGGCCATCCAGTTTGTTACGACCACTATTATTTTCAGATAGTACTATAGAACCTGAAAGTGATATAATCTCAAATTGACCCTGTAATGGAAAAGACACAACATGTGAAGAGAATTAAACCTAAACACCTAAACTTATTATATTTAATTATATAATTAATCAATAGAGTAAAAATAATGACATTCTGACAACTAAATTATGCAACATCAAACATATGCAGAACCAAAGATGCACCTAAACTTGGTTCCTTTTCAGAAAAAGGAAATATTATTACAGACTTTCAAACCCTGTTATTAAATAACTATACCCTTGGCAATTACGAGAGTGCACCAAGGTAGAAAGTACCCTGGAGTAAAAGCAAAGATGAGAAAATGTTGGTTACACACACAGCAGCTCTAACACGAGTAAATCATAAAGTCTGAAAATTGTTTTTGGAAAACAATTAACCAAGACATCAACATAATTAGTGCAAAAAAATCAGTTCTTCTCCTGTGCTGCAAAGTAGATTTTGGATTGATGAAGGTCAACAACATCTACCAGGATAATGAATGACTAAGGAAGGACTATCTAAATATAATGGTAATTCACACAATCACAAGTTCAGGACTGAAAACCTTTTTCCTGAAACATACTTATCCCATCTTCACCATTACCTAATTGTTCCAACTGATACCATGGCCAAATACATTGCATTTTAGATTAAAAAATAAAAACCAATATTTAACAGCACCGAACTCATGTTCAAAGGTTTATAGCTGTTTTCCATGACTATCACCTCCAGTAACCAGATAACCAATCATCGATCTTTTTCAGAACCATGTCAAATACCCTTATCTCTTCTATGTGTGCACACATTTATTTTTCAGATAACCAATCATGTTTGTGTGAAAATTTATTTTGGGTCATAAACTGCATAGCTATATATTTCCCATTTTTTTACACCAAAAGGATTATATTATTTAAGAAGATGCAAACAGAAGAAAGCATAATTCATTTGTAGAGCAAATGGCTCATTTGGTTCCAACAAATCCAATGGTAGCCTACCACCAACTAAAAACAACACATTTCTCTATTTTTCCCTTCTATTTGAGTAAACATAACATGAAAGTAAAAAAAAATTGGTATATTCAATCACTTTTAGTTCTCGTACCAAACAAGTATTGTCAAATTGCACTGCAACTTGTTGGATTGTATTATTCAACCATTTTTTTCCTCTCCTGCAAGTTGTGTGCCATGCTGAATCACTTTTAGAGGTGGATCACTTTGGATAGTCACACCAAGGCCGAAAATCATGGGACCAGTCATGTTGCTGTGTGGTTGATACATGCTGTTTGTTGCATAATTAAATTTTTAACTAACACCTTATGAATCTTCAATTTAAATTTAATTAAATATTTCTGTGATTTAGAGGTTATTTTTCACACACATCTAAGATTACAATTCAAGGATCCTATAACCCCCCACCCCAAGCTTCTGCTTCAATACTCAATTATGACACTTTGCACTAAACTATCACTTTGCTCCTACATGTTCAAAGACAAACTAGAAGCTATCAAGCATGAAATATTCATAAAGTAAGAAGGCCAATCGCAATACTTCATAACTTGGGCGTTTCAATACCCTAAAACTTATCAGTAAAAAGAGATCCATAGTGTTGGAACCAACTGAGACTAGAAAGGGGTCAAGGTTGTAGGAGGAGACAAACTTATGTGACAAGTGAAATTGTGTGATAGGCACCTCAAAGTCTGAAAGATCTTTTCTTCACACAGAATCCCTAAAAAGCTAGGCATGCTACCAAAAGATCCAGTTCTATCCACAACAATAGAAATATAGTTTTTGAAGCAAAGTTTCCAGATCAAATTATATATAAATAAAAAGGGGTACTTGTCTAGAAGAATTTACGGTTTTTACAGCAGTTCATTCACACAGTAAAATCAGGATTGTCTAGAAGAATTTATGCAATAAACCTAACTGAGCATACAACATTCAGTCAATCTTTCTATATACCAATTTTTAAAGTAGATCTTCCTAAACAGTTCCAGTGATTGATTTGAAATTGTATGATCCCACATCTCTCCTTTGCCACACAAAATAGTGCACAACAGAATAATAATTAAAAAATCGCATTGCAAGAAATGAAATTAAAGATATAAGATAGAAATAAAAAGGAAAAAAAGAAAATAAAATCTATTTCCCACTGGCATAGGACAAAGCACATAGGCTTCTTACTTCCTAATTTCAGTAGGAACATTTTTTATCAAGCATTGGAAGATAAAAGAAGCGAATATTTTAATAATCTACTTGATAGAGAGCTTTTAGGAATATGCACATGAGCACATCAACCAAGCATATATTCCATAATATGATTTCCAACTAACAAAATTTTTCTACAGTAGATAAGCGTGATCATTGAAAGGATTGTAAAAGAATGTAAGAAGTACCTCATACGTCACAGTACCCGCAGACATTGCTGGCTGTCGAAGCGTAACATTACGGATAGCACCATTAGCAGAAAGAATGCAAACTGTCCTGGGTCCTTGTTGACAAAAGGCCATAATTTTTGCAGCAATATCCTACAAACAAATCAAGCACGCTGGTAACTGGCGACAACAACTCGTAACAACAACAGTAACCCCACCACGCCACCAAAGAAGGTGAGCACTGAGCAAGCACATACAAAATGTGAATCTAAATTAGCTTTGCAATTAATAAAGTAACAAACATTCAAACTTAAACCCCTAATTAAAAAGGAAAAAGGTGATGCAAGTAATAAATATTCACGTAATTATTAAACATATAACTTATATATGTGACTATAGAAGTAGTGAGTATGGACCATTAGTGCATACCTCGCCGGAATCAACCAAGATGACATGGGGAGTGAAACCAGTTCCGCCGGTTCCTGAGCAATAAAAAAGTCACGTCACGTGACGATGCAATCAAAACAATGACGAAAGAGAGTAAGAGAAAGGGTGAAATAGCGATACCGAGGGCGTCCATCTGCTTCTTCCCAGAGCCCGGAGGGCGTCCCCGGTTCTTCTTGGCGAGTGGTTCGGTGGAGGGGGCGGAAGAAGAAGAGGCTGCGTGGGCCGGAGTTGGGGCCAGGCCCAAGGCGATGTTGCCATCAGGCGAGTATTTTCTGGGCCGCCCTCTCTTCTTCTTCGCCGAGTCGGAGGAAAGCCCGCACGGCTTGAGGGCCTCGCACGTGGCGCTGGTACTGTTGTTGTTGTTGTTGATGATGTTGTTGTTGTTGTCGTCGTCGTTGGTGTTGTTGATGTTGTTGTTGATGTTGAGAGGCTCGGAAGGGTTGTTGCTGTTGAATGGGAATCGGGCGGTGGCGGGGGCCATCATGGAAGGGTAAGAAGTGGGTCCCACCAACATGTTTGGCAGTTGTGGCTGAGGCGGTTCCCGAGAATCCATCGCGGCCACCGGATCACCAAAATGCGGATCACGGAGCGCTAGTGTTAGCTCTTTTAGCTGCTTAATAATGTGTGAGGAAGGTGATGTGATGAACGGAGAAAAAGCGCACCCCAATATTACATTATATATGGAATCAGGGGCAGCGAGGGAACATCGATGCTTTGGGCTTATTAATTTAGGGTTTTACTTTTAGATTTTTTTTTATTCTCCCCCCTAATTTATTATTCTTCATTCCGTTCATGCTTTCAAGAGATATGGATATCGTAGTTCCCTATTTCCCGATCCCTGTCACGTTCATCGTTTCATTTCTACAATGTATCAACTTTTTTTAAATCTTTTTATTTTTAAAATTACTTTTTCATTTTTACCAGCTTTGGCTTATATTTTTATGAGCCTGTAATCAAAAGAGCTATGTGTTTCTTTTTTTCTTTTTTAACCAAATCCTTTCAGATATTAATTCCTTTAAAAGAGAATTATAGAGATTAGATACTTGTAACCAAAAAATCTAATTTGTTTTCTAAAAAAATATTATTAGTTTCTCTTTATCATGACTTTTAATATAATGTTTCTTTTATTGATTTTTTAACCAATTAAAACCATTTGAAAAGGTTTAACCTTCTGTTAATTACTTTTTTTATATTATAAACATACATATTAAGAATACGACGATATTCTTTTAATTATTAAAAGATAGTAAATAATTATAAAATATTGCTCGTAGCCATGGTAACATGAACATGCTGATGCTACCAACTTCATTGAATATGTTAAGGTGATAATTATACCTCGTTTTGTTGTTGAGTGAAAATTAAATATTAATGCAAATTCGTCTTAACCTAAAATATTGAACAATTTAGTAGCATATAAACATAATGGCGGCATCTAAAATAATCATAAACCTTTTCTTTTAAAAAAAAAAGTCCTTAGCTAATTAACATGCAACGCCACCGATCAAGTTTACAATTGTAGGGTATCGAGGTCAACAATAGCTGCCGCATGCTATTTGACCTTTAATATTGCATGATCACCATATTTGAGTGGAATTTGTGTGCATCAATCAATAAAGTAAATGGGTCACAAAAGTTATCATTATATAAATCCAGCAATTTTTTTTAAAAAAAGACGTAATAAATAACATAGTATAATAAAAAATTTATAAAAAAACATAAATATTATTATTGAATGGTGAAAATTAAGTAAGAGGCATTAGTTTTGCCGTTTCAATAATAATAATAATAATATCACTCAAGTTTTTTTAAACACGACGCAGGTAATGTTTTGAAGTCTTAAAAACAAATTTTATGTTTTGGGCTTAATTTAATGTAATTTATTATTTTTATTTTAGGCTAAAGTAATTCATTAAATTTGTAAAATAAGTAATGCTAATATTTTATTTGATATTTTTAATGTCCATCTAAAAATTTGCAATAAAAAATTTACATGTATCAAATTTTTTATAAAAAATCAAAGATTCATTGACAATAGTAAACGTTATATTTTTAATAAAAAACTATTTAGTGTTTTTTATTGTATACATATTAAAAATTATTAATTTTCAATAGATAATTAGTTAGCTCGTTTGCAATTCATATACTATTTTGCCCATTGTTGTCTCGAGCTTGCTTGACGTGTTAATTGTAGAAGAATCGATTGAAATCAATTTAGTAGTGAGACCAAGATGTGTACAACCATCGATTAACCACTCTGGAGAAGACTCCACAACCATTTCTTAAAGCTGAAAGATAACTTAACAGTGAAGTTGTGCTGTGGTAGGAGTTGGGGATGGAGGCTGAGATTTGTTAATGGCGGATGAAGGCGTCAACGTTGAGTTTGTGGAAGATGGTATTGATGTCAATGACAGTGAGAGTGTCAAATGGCAGGCTTTTTTATATAAATAATATTATTTTAAAAACTATTTTTTAAAATAAGGTTAATTAAAAAAAATTTATTTGGGGCTTATTTTTTCTGTGTTACTAGGTGTATCGAAATTTTACAAATGATACTATTTTTTAAAACAGTATCGTACTTATTAGAATGATGCTTATGATGACACATATTAAACAAAAAAATTAGTATTTTTTTTGTTTGACGATATTATTATCGATAACTAATTTTACGATGATTCTGCTATCTACTTATTAGGTGCGATATTATTTCAGACATTGACATGTGACATTTATTTAAAAAAAATTTAAAAAATGTTTAAATTTAAAATTTAAGATTATAAAATTTAAAAAATAAAATTAAAAATTATAAGAATTTAATTTTAATTGTAGTATTAATGAGTAAAAAAAAAGTTGTGATAAATTTAATTGACATATATTTTATAAAAATATAAATTAAATTTATAATTGATTGAGTTATAAAATTAAATATTTTAAAAATAAGATTACAAATTTCAAAATAAAATGAGGAATAATAAATTATAGTATTAATTTTAGTAAAATAACTAGTTAAAATAAGATTAGTTAACATAACATACATAAAAAAAATTATAATTATCTTATACATTAAAATTATAAGATATTTATTTTAATTTTAGTATTAATTATTCTAAAGATAATTTTAGTATAAATAATATTATTTTTAAAAAAATTCTTAAAATAAGATTAATTAAAAATTATTTTTGGTATAGAGTTTTTTTTTTCACATCAACAATAGGTGTATTGGAGTTCTAAGGATGATACTATTTTTTTTTAAAAAAAAAAACAATATCACATAAATGAATAATATACTAAATTAAGTAATAAAAAATAAAAAATATATAATATGCAACTTATTAAAATTGCGATTTAAAATTGTTCATATATATATAACTATATCATAATTTAACTATAAATTTTATTAAATGATTTTAAAACACTTTTTAATAATTTATATAAATGAATTTATGGAAATAAATTAAAATAATGCATGAGATTTGTAATCTATTTTTATAAATTATTTATACACATTTTAAACATTTCTTAAATATATAAAATACTAAAAATTTAAATAAAAATAACTTAATATCAGGGAAAAAAGTATAGTATTTAAAAATAATAGTTAAAAAATAAAATATTTAATTACAAATCATGTTAAATTACATTAACAACTATGATTAAAATATTTAAAATATTTTTTATTTATTAACTAGCGATATTTAAAAAAATGAAGAAAGTCAAAGAGGAGATAAAAGAAAAAATAAAAAATTGAGTGAATTAGAATATAAAATAATGACTATATTTTTAAGAATTAATAATAAGTATTATGTTGATAAAATAAAATAATAATAAATATAAAAATAACAAATTTAAACAATAAAGATAATAAAAAATGAATGAAAATTTTGTTAATTTTATTATTAGAATAAATTACATATATTATTTTAAAAACTAATATTTTCAATCATTATTTACAATATCCATTTTAAAATATATTAAAATTCTCATTTCAAATGATTAATTATATTTTTAAATGAAAATATATTTTTTGCATTTTTTTAAGGACCAAATCCTTTTTAAATAAGGTTCGTGATACTAACAAACGACAAGACACGTTGTTGGCACTCTATTTGAGGGTATCGGTACATATATATAATTTATTTTATAAATTAAAAATAATTTATTTTTTTACATTATAAAAATTTAAATAAAGGCGTCTTTTTTAGAATTTATAAAAAAATATAAATTATTTTTAACTTATAAAATAAATTTTATTTATTTTTATATTAATTTAAAGTTAAATAAATTTAAACAAAAATTTATTATTGTTATTTATTTTACATATAATTATTTTATTAGTTAAGGTTCTTTTCTTTATTTTGATCAAAGGCTAAATTAATAGACAAATAAATTAACAATGATTAATTGGGAATTTGGGATAAAGATAAATGAAATATTCTAATCGAATTAACCTGTAATTTTAAATCAAGAAATATATTATTTCATGTTATTTATATAAATAATAATAATAAAAACAATGGTTCACTAAATACACTCACGGGAGACGCACGTGCCGTCAAAGTGAATAGCTGAACGGGGTTGTGTGTTGGTATGCTGGTGTGCCAAAAACGCTGACAAGTAACGGAGTCGTCTCCTCATTTTGTAGTGCTTGTTCTTCTCTGCACTCCGTCGACGACGTTTAGTTGCTCCTCCTCCTCCGAGCCACAGATCTGCGGCGGAGCCACCTTGTCTGATTGTTCTTCTTCTTCTGGAAGCTCTTCCTCGGGAAATTAGGAAGTCGATACGCCGGATCGGAGATGCCGGTGGCTGCTTCCGCTATATACTTCTTAAACCTCCGCGGGGACGTTCTCATCAATCGCCTCTATCGAGACGATGTTGGGTAACATCTCTTCCTTTTCACTCTCTTGAGCTCATCTCTAACGTTGCCGCTTAGTGTAGATCTTCAGTGATGAAATCAAATGAAAATGGACCGTTACCGTTGTTTGCACTCTGATATGTTCTATGACCTAATTTTCATAATCCGTTGTAGTTAACGAACTCGGACTATGGAAAATTAGTTTTACTTGCTCGTCTATTACGTTTGAGGTTCGTCCTATTGGAAACAATTAGGCGCGTTGCAATCGAAGCCTGTGAGTGGTGACTTCTCGGTTTCAATTTTCAAACAATGTTTGGCCATATGCTGAACGTTCCACTCGTAATGCAGCTAGGACTAGTGATAACGAATTTTTGCTTTTGCAATGCCGTTTCTTAAAACCCTGAATCTTCTTGATTGAGCTTTTAGAAGTTCATTTATTATTTCTCGGGGGGCGATGTTGTGTCTTCTAATTCGTAGCTTTACAGGGGAAATATGGTTGATGCTTTTCGGACGCATATAATGCAAACAAAAGAACTTGGTACCTGTCCTGTGAGGCAGATTGGTGGCTGCTCTTTCTTTTACATGAGGATCAGTAATGTCTACATTGTGATTGTTGTCAGCAGCAATGCTAATGTAGCTTGCGCCTTCAAGTTTGTTGTTGAGGTATTTAACCTCTGCCTGTCACTGCCACTGCCACTTATCTGATGTCTGGCTTTGTTTGTTAAATTATGATTCAGGACGTGGGCTTTGGTTTTTTTCTATGCCATTGTTCCTCAACTCTGTGACAAAGGCTTTGTTGTCTCTGTTGCTTGTGCATGACATTTTGTCTTCCAATTCTTGATATTTGATCACAAATTAACATTTACGTGTGGTTATATAGTTGATCATAGTTGATAATATGTCCTCTTTTCAGGCTGTTGCGCTATTCAAATCATATTTTGGTGGTGCCTTTGATGAGGATGCAATTCGCAATAATTTTGTACTCATTTATGAGCTACTAGATGGTATGTAATTACATGGTGATGAATTAAATTCCTTACATGTTCAATTTTGATGTTGGTCTGTAATGCTTGCTGATGTTGAAATGAAAGTCAATTGATGGTTTTAGCTTCCTATAATTTTAAACATTGTCATTAGTTAGATGGATATTTTCTGGCTAAGTTTATTATCTGCCCAAGGTTTTACCTACACTGAAGAGGAGATGCAAGAGCATTACAGCATTACCTTGTTCATTATGAAATATTTATATGTGATTTGAATTTGCTGGAAATATAAAATACAGCATACATGAGTCTTGGCATCATTTTTGAAACTGGGATTTTAGCTGGGGAAAAAAAAATTAATGATTCTTCTAAACTAATACATTTATTCATGGTGACAAAAACCTTCAGGCTAAGTGGCTAACAAAGAGAAGGATACATTTTCTTTGTTGGAATTTTCATATTGCTTGCAAACTTTATATTGTATGGGTAATAATAGCGGGACCAAAACAGCAGTCATAATTCCATATGTTCTTCAAAATTTTATGGAAACTACCATGGTACAAATAGGTTGTAAACTAGGGCTTTGATTGTGAAATGAAACAGAAGTGGAACTGGAAGGTTTCTCTTGCTTGCATATATGAACCTGTAATAGTGTTCTTGGTTGATAAAGTATTAGGTATTTTGGATTGTGCATTTATGTATTTTGTCAACAGATTGAGAAAATATGTTTTGCTCAATAAAAATTCACGTAATAATAAAAGACCAAGTACTATTCTCATGACAGAAAATATTTATCTTTTGAATGAGTTTCTGATAAATATTTTCACACATTTGCAGAAATCATGGACTTTGGTTATCCTCAAAATCTTTCACCCGAGATCTTGAAGCTTTACATCACTCAGGAAGGAGTGCGTTCCCCATTTTCATCCAAGGTTAGTTTCTACCCATGCTGTTGTTGACACCATGAAGTAAGGACATGGAAATGTACTTGATTGGACCCGATAATGGCTCATATTGACATGAAAAAATTCAGAAAAAATGAATCTTGGAGAAATCGCTTGAAAATGAAAATATCAAATATCATTTTGTGAGGAAAGGGGGAACCCTTCACAGATAGACCTGTCCTGTTTCAAAATGTGACTTTACGAGTTAGTGGCTGTGTGTGCTAAGTGTTGTGTTTGTCTGTCCATTTATTTTTTGCTTTGATTTTGAGTTTACATTTCTTAATATGTTTTGTGTGTGGAATGTTTGGTGGAATCCTTTAATTTATCTTGTTTTGCATGCAATGGTTGGGGTGACAGCCCTCAGATAGACCTGTTCCAAATGCAACTTTACAAGTTACTGGTGCTGTTGGTTGGCGGAGGGAAGGCCTTGTGTACAAAAAGAATGAAGTGAGTTGTATACCATCCTACATCCACTCTTTATTGTCAATGTCATATTATTGCAATTGCAAGTTCACAATATTGACCCATTGGCCATTGCAGGTCTTCCTGGACATTGTGGAGAGTGTGAATCTTCTTATGTCTTCAAAAGGTGGGTCATCAACTTTGATTGCCTCCATGTTGATATTTTCTTAATTGCCTGCTAATTGTTTTATGGATTTAGGTGTTGTTCTGCGCTGTGATGTGACCGGGAAGATTCTTATGAAGTGCTTTCTTTCGGGAATGCCTGATTTGAAGCTGGGTTTGAATGACAAGATTGGCCTTGAGAAAGAGTCACAACTTAAATCTCGTCCTACTAAAAGGTAGTTTTCATTTAGACATGGTTTCCCACATTTTCCTTCAATGTTGTTGTTTGAAACTTGTGTCTATGTTTTGTTGCATTATTAAAGGAAATTATGTGTTTACTTTTGTGTGTGTGCGCTGGATATTTCATCCTCCTGTTTTATTTTCTCTACTATAATGCTAATATTGTTTTCTATTTTCAACAAAATCTATTTTGCAGTGGTAAAACTATTGAGCTTGACGATGTCACATTCCATCAATGTGTAAATTTGACAAGGTTCAACTCAGAGAAGACAGTTAGTTTTGTGCCACCTGATGGTGAATTTGAACTAATGAAGTAAGCTTTTGCCTTTTCATTATATCTGATGATATATCAAAGTTTGTATAACTTGCAGCAAACATATTACTGTAACTTTTGGTGGGACAAGGGACAGTTGGGTAGAAGGGTTTGTGATTCCTTTTCTTTGGTCTTTGAACTTCTTTTTATTAACCATTTCAAAATTACTTTCTGTTATTTTTTTACTAGGCAATTGATAATGTATTTCTTGGTAGATCTCCATCATCAAACTTTGGTCAGGAAAATGGATAATTAGCATCTCAATATTATGATTTAAGCTTCTATGAAAGAGCTTTATTCCTTCTAAGACATCCTAATAGGTCACCAAAATTTGGAAGCTAATTGTGCTTAGAGTCTTATTCCTTACAACTGCCCAATTTTCATAAACGATAAATCCAGTCCTGTTATTTCCAAGACTCTGAGTCAAGGGATTTATCTGAAATCTTTCTTATGAGCATCCATTTCTTCAGTTCATTGGTTTTTCCTTGCCTATCCTATGCATTTAACTTGTACGCTTTCACATAATATTGTCATGGAAATTATTTTTTGTTAGTGTCATTTGCAAAGATAGTTATGCTTCCTTTGTTGTTAGATTACTTTTCTTCCTTTTATAATGTTTGTGGCATCAATGTGATTCTCATCTCCTTATGCACAGCATTTGCTCATTATGAAATTCAAAGCATATTGCTTGGCTCCAAGGAGTCTATTTTACCATATTTTTTTATCACTTGGGTTTATAAAAATTACCAGTGATAGAGGATCTCGTGATATTAAGGGTGCTAGAATGGCATTGGTTTGGTCTAATATTTGCTAACATAATTTCATATCGCTAGATATCGTATCACTGAGGGTGTTAATCTTCCCTTCAAAGTGTTGCCAACTATCAAGGAACTTGGTCGAACAAGGATGGAAGTAAATGTGAAGGTTTGAAAATTTTCATGTTGAAGGTCTAGTGAAAGTTATCTATCCTTCATTTGTTTTGTTTATTTATTTTTTAACATGTTTTCCAGGTAAAAAGTGTCTTTGGTGCAAAGATGTTTGCTCTAGGGGTGGTTGTCAAAATTCCTGTGCCAAAACAAACAGCAAAAACAAGTTTCACAGTCACATCTGGCCGAGCAAAATATAATGCAGCTATTGATTGTTTGGTTTGGAAGTAAGAGCTTTACTTTATTATGATTACTATGATTACTATGTGAAATAAAAATTATTGAAAGTTGTTATCAGAAGCTAACTCAAAAAGCATCTCAAGTATATATAAAACATAGCCGAAGTCGAAACATAAATCTGCATGATTTACTTTTTAATTTTATATTTTGAAATATGTTGTTTTACATTGTTATTGTAAATTAGGATTCCTTTTTTATTTAATTATTATTAGGGTACCGTTGAATATGGTTTTCATTCACTTGCTTCAATTTTAGCCCAAGAGCCTTGTCCTATTATTTTCAAGTGATATTTTAATGAATCAGTTGTTACCCGTTTCCCTTTCATCAGAACCTGGGGGTTTAGTATTTTTACATTCAGTATGAAGCTGTTCTAACTTCCAAACATGTTCTTAATTTGCAGAATAAGAAAATTTCCTGGGCAAACCGAGCCAACCTTAAGTGCAGAAGTTGAACTTATTTCTACAATGACAGAAAAGAAATCTTGGACTAGACCGCCAATTCAGATGGAGTTTCAGGTTTGTTATCACTTCAACAAATTCTGTAAATATGGGTCGAACTTCCTGGTTGCCTGAAGAGTATTTGTGAAAGCATATTCATGAAAATGGTTCAATATGTAATTAATCCAGCTTAGTGTCTATGTTTAATGTAATATGTTGAATAGGGAAATTAGGGACTAGGAGGACCTGTATATTCATTATTGTATTAAGATATATATACCGTTGACTGTCTAGTGCCTTGACACTATTTTCAGCAATTACTTTTCCTTTCTCTCAACAAAAGTTGTTCTTTTTAACTCTTTCCTTTTTGGGTAAACTTTAGTGGATATTGGTCCTCTGCTACGGGCAAAACTTCTAAAGTAATATATCATATTCTCTCTGTTTCTTATATAGTAGCTTGATGTATTAGTCTTATATATTTCTTGATGCAGGTTCCCATGTTCACGGCATCTGGTTTACGAGTCCGTTTTCTCAAGGTAGCCATCCCGTCTTACTAGGCTTTTATTTTTTTTCTCTGAATTTCCTTATAACAAATATCAAATTTTTTCGTTTAAGGTGTGGGAGAAGAGTGGATACAACACTGTTGAGTGGGTTCGTTATATTACAAAAGCAGGATCTTACGAGATAAGGTGTTAGACATATCGGAATTGTTGGTTTCAAGCGTCACGATTAGTGGGTGGAGATTGAAGCTATATCCTAAATAATTTTAAAGCTGCAGTTCTATCTAGTTATCCAATCATAGCAGAGTTTCTTGTTAAGGTTGAGGCGTCCCTCATCATATAGTGTGCTGTCAAAATGATTATACGTGTGAAAAATCTCTTGAATTTTTTTTATTCCGGGGCCAGCTTGTTAATGGAAACTTAAATTGATTCCATCTCCCTTGTACACTTTGTATTTTATTGATAATGTTTGAGTGATGCATTTTGTAATTCTTTGTCATTGTCAAACTTCATGTTGGCGTTCATTTTATACAGAAACTATTTTTTTTTCTGGTCAACATACAGAAACTACTTGAAAAAAAAAGAAAATAAAAAAAAAATAAAAATATATATATATATATGGGAGACTACTGTTTATATGGCTACTCATTAAACAATACAGTCTTAGGTGATGGATTCGTCGCTTCGAGGGAAGAAATCCTCTTAAACAGAAAGATAAGAAAGCAAAGTTATATATAAATACTACGAATTTTTCTTCCGGATTATTTATTTTATGGTTACATTTTACAGTTGTGGGATACACATACAAGAGCTTTGTCCTCCTCCACTCCTTAATATTAATATGTACCGAAACTAAAAACTGAAAATGTTTTTACAAGCATGGTAATTCTAAAATATTTTGAAGTCATGTGGATTTAGTTATCTTTTCATCTAAGATGACGAAATGTTCAAAATAAGAAAATAAAGCTTTTATTTATCATCGATTTAATTTAAAATACTTTGTAAATATATTTAATTTAAAATTAATAACGAATAAAGTTTCACTTTCTCATTTTATGTTTTTTTTTTAATTTTAGAATAATCAAATATATAAATGTAACTGCAGAAAGGTGAATAGCCATCCTGACATTTCATGTTATATATACGACATCATAAATAACAATAAAATAACATTATAAAAATCAGAAAGTAACCATAAAATAATACCTAAAAAGTAATAATGGGAAAATATTATAATGACAAAGAAACGGTCAAAATAAAATAACTGCAAAATATACTGTTTATTTTTGTAATTTTTAATATTCAATACCTTACATTCTTATTTTGTTATTATAGTAAAATAAGAAAGTTATAATATATAATAGAAGGCTTATTTATTTATTTAATACAAATTTAAAATAAAATTCTCAAATTAAAATAACAAATTTTTTTTTTCTGTCAGAGACTTTTTTCTATCATGTCAATGATAGTTTCGTCTTTATTTTGAATGAAACTATCTTTTTTTTTATTTTTAATTAACCAGTCTCGTCTAAAAAGGAAATAAAATCATCATAACCTAACAAGTGTAGGTAATGTCCTCCAATTACAAAATAAGAAAATTCAAAAATTGCACCACCATGTCACTCAATCAAATAATTTAGTCTCACATAACAAAACATACTTATTTGTCTTTTTTTTTTCTCTTTCCATGCAATACAATCCATTTCTTTTTTTTTTTTCTCTTCTCACCACCAATCTTATTTATTATTTCATTATTCTAACTCTCGTAACTTTATGCTTTTCAGATAATACAATCCATTTTTTTTCTCTCCTTCCACTACCAATTTCATTTATTGTTTTATTATTCATGTTCTTGTAACCCTATACGTTTCATACAATGTACTTCATTTCTTTTTTTCTCTCTTTCTACCACTAACCTCATTTATTCTTTCATTATTCTCTTTCTCGTAACTCTGCACGTTCCACACAACATAATCTATTTCTTTTTCTTTTTCTTCCCCCACCAACCTCATTTAATTGGACTTATTTTATCTTTTTTTAATTTTTCTTCTCTATGTGCTTTCTTTTTTCTTAGTTTTACGAGTCTCACTCGCCATGCAAAATTAAAAAACTATGAAACTCTAAAAAAAAATTTTCCTTTGTTCCTATCTTTTTAATAAAAATTTAATTTTATCAAACTCTACAAAATCTAATTCGTAAAAAATCCTGTCTTCTTTTTGTCCCAAAAGTCATAAAATCTTTTGTTTTATGTTAAAAGTCTTTTTTTATTTTGCAAACCCAAAAAGAAGGCCTAATTTTTTTTACTAAAAATCTCTTTTTGCAATGATAAACCCTAAAAAAATCTTAACCTTAAAAAAAACCTAATTTCTCCCCTAAAATTCATCCTTTTTGAAGAACTCCAAAAAAATCTTAATTTTCCCCCCAAAACCCTTTCTCTTTTTTCTTTTAAAAACTATTCTTTTTGAAAAACCGTAATTTTTCTCTAATATCCTTTCTTTTTTTAAAAAAAATCATCCTTTTTGTGAAAATCATAAAAAACCCTAATTTCTTTTTCAAAATCCTTTCTTTTTTCCTCTTAAAAATTCTTTTTAAATATATCTTTTTCGCAAACCTTGATCTTTTTTTTTCTTCCTAAAAAGTCCCTTTTTTGTTTACCTAAAAAAAATTCTTTTGAGAAACCCTAAACTCTAATTTTTTTAAACTCTTAAAAATCATCCTTTTTCACAAATATTTTAAAAATATATAATTTCTTTGTAAATCTTACAAAAAAAAATCCCTAAATTAAGAAAGTGTTATTTACTTGTTACTTTTGTTTGTGATTGTCTTTGCTCTTTTTCATATTTGTTTGATGTGTTATTCTTTTTAATTAACGGACGTCGTATGGTGCTGATATCTTATTTATGCATAAACGACTCTGAACTCAAATTTAATTTTAAATATTATTTCTATTAAAGTTTTTTCAATGTTTTTTTTAATAAACTTTAATGGCAATTCCTTATCATCAGTTTTTTAACTGATTATAACTCTATTTCTATCGAAATAAATGAAAAAGAATAACACATTGAAGAAATAATAAAAAAAAAGGACAATCACAAATAAAAGTAATGAGAAAATAAAATTTTCTTATTTTAGGATTTATTTTTCTGTAAGATTTACAAAGAAATTATATATTTTTTTTTAAGATTTGTGAAAAAGGATGATTTTTAAGGTTTAGAGAGTTGCTAAAAGGATTTTTTTAGGTAAGCAAAAAAGGGATTTAAAAACAAGATTAAATTTTTTAGGGTTTGCGAAAAAGAGATATTTAAAAGGGTTTTTTAAGAGGAAAAAAAAAGAGAAAGGATCTTAAACAAGAAATTAGAATTTTTTATGGTTTCGCAAAAAGGATGATTTTTTTTTAAAAGAAAGGATATTAGGGAAAAATTAGGGTTTTTCAAAAAGAATAGTTTTTAAGAGAAAAAAGATAAAGGATTTTGGGGGAAAAATTAAAGTTTTTTTGGGAATTTTCAAAAAGTATGAATTTTAGGGGAGAAATTAGGTTTTTTTAGGGTCAAATTTTTGCTAGGATTTATTAATGCAAAAGGAGTTATTTGAAAATAAAATAAAATAAAATTAGGCCTTCTTTTTGAGTTTGCAAAAAGAATGACTTTTTTGCATAAATTTTTTTTTATGACTTTTGGGACAAAAAGAAGGCAGGATTTTTTATGCATTAGATTTTTAGGGTTTTGATAAAATTAATTTTTAATTAAAAAGAAAGGAACAAATGGAAAAAAGTTTTTAGAGTTTCACGAGATTAAATTTTTTTGATTTTGTATGACAGATTGAGACTCATAAAAGTAAAAAGAAAAAAAAAAGAATTTAAAAAAAATAAAATAAATCTTTATTTGTTTTATCGGTGCTCTTGTAGTGACTTAAAATTCCTTTATTTAAATTCTTTCCTTCAACCTCTAACATTACTTTCTCTTTTTTGTTTCGTCGTCCCTTAAATTCTCACTCCCTTTTTTGGTCTTTCAAATTATCTCTCTTTTATTTTCTAAACTTTCAATTTTTATATACTCTCTAAAATGTGTCATATTTCTCTCTTTTTGTTTCACTTCTTTAAAAAGTGTCATTTTCTCTAAAGACATAAGCTTCCTATTTATAAGTATTTTTCTAAAACTCTAAATCCTATTTTTTAATAAATGTATTTATTTATTTTAATAAAATTTTTTTTCCCTATAATCTCTTATTTCATATTGACCACCTATTAGATTTTTCTTAATCATTTTTTCTATTTTTCTTAAAATTTATACTAATCACTTTTTTTATTACTGTCCAAAATATCTACCTATTTAAAATTTGAATTTAAAATTTAAAATCCTAACCTCTTAAAATTTAAAATCTCATTTATTTTTTATTTTTTATTTTTATTATTTTTTAAAAACTTTATTTAGTAGAGACCAGAATAAAATTAGATATTCACAAAATATATTATTATCTTAAAACTATTATATAAATGAGAAATTTTTATTTATTATATATTATAATTAATTAATGCAATTAATAATATATGAAAATTGAATAATTATTTAATGGTATTTATTTATTTTTATTGATGTGGAGCGGTATAATATAATAATTGTAGAAAATAGAATAGAAAATGGAGGGATGCAGCGGAAGTGACAACGTTGAAAGGGGATGCTGAATGAGAGTGGATTGGTTGGTTAATGGTTTATATAAATAAGGTCCTCAAATTTCTTTGTTACTGCCTCTTTCTGAGTTTCCGTGCAACACCAGACGCGATCCTTCACCTCCTCAGTGCAGCTGCGACGTCGTTTTCTGTTTCCTTCTTTCTCTCATGGGACTTTTCAGAAGGATAGTTGGATTTCTAGGGTTTTCAAGGGACGATGTCCACGAACACGATTCTAAGGACGACGAACCCGACGGTCAACATCGTACGGCACGGTTTCGCGTCAAAGAAACCGGTCTTCCTCGTAAAGGGTTTAGTGTCCAGGCCCAGGTCGTCGTCGATCGCTCCCAGCTTGGTCCCGTTCTCACTCCTTCTACCTCTGGCGACGGCGAAGTTCAGGTCCTTCCTTTCTCTCCATTTCCCCCCTATCGATTCCATTTCCATGCCATCCACCCTCATCAATTGGCGACATTCAGTTTTTATTTTTTATTTTATTCAAAATAGTTGGGGTTTTATAACCTTTGAATCTAATTGGGGAAACCTAAGGAATCTACCTATCCTTTCATGTTAGCAATAAAATAATTGTAGCATATGTGATTATGGGATACTGGAGTAGTATTTGCTTTGGAGGTGTATTTAGGCTTCTTTTTTCTTAACATTGGTTATCGTAATTACAGAAAAATAGAAAATGGATTGTATCTTGAATTAACGCATGAAAATGATAAAGGAAAAGAAAAAACACGTGCTTACTTTTGTGCGATTGGCACATCAATGCCCTTGTGAATGGTTGGTGAACAGAGGCTAGTAACATATTTTATCCTAGTTTCACCTGAGAAAGAGCTTCTTATGAAGTATTTGAGCCAATACTTCCTGTCTTTAGTCGTTCTATATATATATATATATGTATGTAGTGAAGATGTTATCATTATTGGAATTTGGAAAATAAAATTTTATCAGGAAAATAGTAAGTAGGTAAGACATATTTTAATGTTTCAATGTCCAATATGGATAACCCTTTTTGTCCTTATATTATTACTTTCTTCTGCACTAGTAACTGAACAAGCAAGTCTTTTGTTTCTAGCTGTGCGCTTGGGGGACGCTCTGGTGAGCATTTTGTAAACACATGAATGAAATTGGTGACATTTTACGTAATTTGTGGTGACTTTAACGTGGCAGAATCAGGTTGGATTGAGAACAAGATTGTTTAAAATTTGAATTGGTAATTGTAATCTCTTAGACAGCTTGTTTTGTACCATTCCTTGTTTCAAAAATGGTTTGCTAGTCTGTTCTGTGCACAATTAGTGGGCCTTCTCTTTGTTTGATGATTAAAAATATCCGTTATAGCTTTTCTGGTGTGGATAAGGGTGGCATGATTTCCTAATGCTAGTTCTTTTTTGTACGTTTATGACCTTCAGTATTATGTTTGTACAAGTTAGGAAAATCAAATAATTTGAAGTTAAACCACAACACTCCAATAAATGACAGATGAAAGAGGCAAGGAAAACGTTGTTGTTAACTAGTTATAGCCTTATAGGGCATTCATGACCTTACAATTTTGCCTGTTACATTTTATTTTTGTCTTCATTGCTAACCTTTTGTATTTAAGTGCAGTGGATGACAATAGCCCTGTCTTGATTATGCAATTTGTATGCTTCTTTTTGCACTGTTGCCTCTAATCTGATGTATACATTTATTTTGTTAACTTAGTTAAGTTTGGGAGCTTTATGGTCAGATAAAATTTCCTTTGTCAAGTAATTTACTGTCTGCAAGTAATTGATATTCTGGGTTTATGTTTCTCTTTATCAGGGTCTGGGATGGTATACAAAGCGTCTTATGATAGACGAAGATGGAGATGTAGCAGATGAATTCCTTGATGAGGTTTCTTCAGAGATTCCAGAATCACTTGCTGTAGATCATCATAAAATGCCAGCAAGATTTAAACTGAAATGCGGTACTAGGCCAGTCAAAGTGAAACAGATTCTATCAGATGGGAAAATTCAGCAATATGTGGAACACCAGGGCAGATTGCAGCGGGTATAATTAAATCTGTTTAGGTATTGGTCTGACTATTGATTTGTGGGCCTTATCTGTTTAGTTGTGCAATCGGTGGGAACCTGCTGTCAAAACACTAATATTTTAACTGAGCTTTACTTGATGGTTCCTTTTTACTCTTTGATTGTCTTTCACTAGCCATGAATATGTCTGCGAATTGCTGCATTTGGTGAAAGTGTGTGGGAGTTAAATGTACAATTTAAGGAAGTCTGGGTTTACCCAACAAATTGTGCTACTAAATCTCATGTCTTAAGCTATATATTACAGAGGCTGTGTCAAGTTTTTAGGTCTAGTGGTCGAAAAATTTTTGGTACACAACATTGAATAAGGTGCAAGGTTTTCTGGGTGAAAGGACTATGTGTGAGGAGATCTATGAAGCTCTGAACTTCGACAAGTAGACGCACTTGAAGTGAAGTTCGTCATTAGGTATGGTAGTTTCCTGTAAGTATTGAAATGTGGGACGTGTGATTCTGCTAATGATGATAATTTGTTCTTTACTTCTAGCTTTTGTTCAAACTGTTTGTGATGTTCATTAGATTAATAAAGTGAAATATAGATTTTTAAGAAAATGGATAATCAATAATGATGGCTCGTTGTACCAGAATGTTTTTAAGATTACTGAATCATCAGTTCCTCGGCTTCAAATTGATAATCTTTTTCAAAGGCAAGATTCTCAAATCAGCTTCCACGGGAAGTTAGTCAGAATAATTCCGACATACACTATAGGAAATGGTTTGTCTACTCTACGGTGGCTGGCCTAGTTAGAACCATGGACTTGATGAGTTGAACGTTCTAGTTACTCCAGAAATTATAGGAAATTATCACTCGGTGCATAAAATGTTTGTTGGCTTGTTGAATATGAACGACGTCAATTATTGGCCCAAAAGAGTGTATAAATTTTAATATTTGTTGATTGCAAGAGTTACGAGAACATGGTAAAAAGAAGAATCGATGTCAATTAACCTTACCTGTTTGAGAAGGGGGGGGGGGGGGTTATGTTACATGTATGCTACACGAATACATCTACTTAGTGAAGAATGAGAAAAGTTCCGTCGAGAAGGCATAACATGTGGGGTTGGATAGCAATTAAATTCAATTGTAAAATTGGAACTTGAACAACCTTTGGTTATTGAGAGGTAATTATACTAATATATGGTTTGGTCCGGCTGAATAAATGAATTTCTTCTATGTTCACATTGAGCTGGTGAGATGAATTAGCGTAAGGAGAATATACATTGCGTATTGTAGTGGTATTAAAAGGTGTTGAACCAATTAGACTGATATAAAACATGAGTTTTTGAAAATCTTAGATCAAATCGGATACCTATACGTCCGTTGCGACCCAAAAGTCATGCATTGACCGCAGCTCTTAATCGGCAAGCCCAAGTTTTTAAAATTATGTAAAATTAAAATTTGAAATTCAAAGGCTATATCAATTAAAATAAAAGGCTATTAGCGAGTGCCCAGTCAACTGCTGAGATTGATCAATGGCATTGTCATATTGAGCTAAAAGTAATATTGATGTGGGCCATTGTTGCAGTGGCTAGTCCAATTCCTCGAGCTGCATACGTAAGCAAGTGCTTTGCTGATGTTGTTTATTGTGTGTAGTGCGTGTGTATAGAAAGATAGGTAGAACCGTAGAAGATTATTTTTAAGCTAGTGTGTTTATTCAATAAGTTTGGCATCGGTGAAATAATGATATGAAGGGGCCAATTTTAACTGGGAGCGTTTTGATTGAGGTATGCAATAATTTTAATCGTTTACTCCCATTAATTTCATCCTGTCACCCGTTTAACAGATTAATGGGACGGGACTTTTAGAGTTTGAAAAATGCTTTATTCCTGAATGATAAAGCTGAGCGAACTCTCATATCCAATATAATTCAGAAGATACTGCTTTGCGGCCACAGCCACTTATTGTTATATGAGACTTGCTTTTCATTCCAATATTGGTATGCAGCAAGACACGCGAAACAGTCGAGAGACAAGGACAGCCAAGTTTCTTAACCTCAAATGATGTACGCCTTATACTTACGAAAGAGTAATTTTCTATTGAACGTGACATTTTAAAATGACTGGAAAACAAATGTTGGGCGGGGTCTCAACCATATGTGTGAGCTATGACATAAACAAGGCTGTTGGAGAACACGGGATTATATAAAAAAAAGGGCCGGGATCATTATTTCACGTTGATCGATTTTTTGTACCTCAAGTTCAAGACTGAAAAGGACGTTGGTTTAGTTAATATGCCTAAAAGGGTGCTTATGTTATTCACAAAACAAGATATTAGCCCTGTGAACCTAGCTACAACATTTTACGTGGAGCAAGGCTTATCTACCTAGGATACTCTGTGGAGCTAGTCAGAATCAGCAATTAGCAACCATAGAAATATGAACAACCTCTGCTGAACCATCCTCACATCAATTTCATTTCTAAAATATCTACTTAGGATTTGAGACTGTTATCATGCTGAATTTATCAACCCATCTAGTGTATCATTTGAAAGCCTAGAGTTCGTGGCCGTACTTGGATCTTTTGCTGATTCAAAAGGCAGAAAATTTTCTAAAGAGATTGAATTCTGTGTTTGGTTCTCCTTCAAGCTTCATAAACAAAATATCAGCATGGGATACTAAACCCTACCTTTTCTGGAGATGCGAATTTTCAAAAGCACTCACAATCAATAATCTTATCATAAATAGTTATTCCAAATAGCCTTTATTTCTGATACTGCCTCTGAATTTGGAGAATTATAAACTGGTACTGATGCTGTAGGGGCAAGACCGATTCCTTTTGAGGCATACACTGCTTATTAATAAAGCATTACATGGTACACCCAATAATACCAAAATTATTTAGTTATTTCACTCAAAGGAAAAATAACTCTATACAAGTGAAGAGAATTTACTGTGCCAGCTAGGGCGATATGTGACTATTAAAACCAAGGTCGGTGTCTGTAAAGACTTTTATAGTTAGATTTAGGTGCTGAATTTCTGCTCAGTGGTGCTTGTTGAGGCCTGTATCATTAAGTAACACCAGTGTAAACCAATGTGCATATTAGAATATAGTTCAAATTTGTATGCACATATAAAAGATTTTTTCACATTCAGCCATGATATTTAGTACGAGAAAACTTCTAGGAAGTTAGCAAGGAAAGAAAGGATGCATAACAAACATGGGTGGCCAAATGAAAAGTTTGAAAGCAATCACACAACCGTTTTCATACGTTCAATCAATCATATAATTTTGTACACCTTATGAGTAATACTATATTCTTCTATAACATTTTACGAATCCTAGTATTTTATATAGAATGTATTAAATGCAAAGGTAAATTTATTTAATATTTAAAACTATAAAAAACACCAATGTTTTTTAAATGCTGCTGAAATTCACTCTTGTTCCATTCCTTATTTATTGACTAGAAAATATCGTATTTGGCTATTTGCTAAACATCGTAATAGTTTTTCTATCATATCCACCTTCCACAAGGGAAAAAGGGAAAGGTATATGCCCTGCTGACATGAACATTTGTTAGGATTGTTACACAATCAAGTTGGGACTCAAGTCAAGACTGTTAGCAAAATGAAGAGAATACGGAAAGAAGAGTTTGTACTGACCCCAACTGATGTTACAAAACTGCAAACCGCACATTTCACGGATCTTGCTCCATATTGGTACATGAGTAGCATCCTACAGTTCCCACAGTTGACATGTGCCACCTGATTTGCTGTTACCATGTTCATACATACAAAAGTAGTGACTCAAATCATATTCATAACCATTTAAACTCACTAAAGAAAACCACCTCTCTCTAAAACTTCATATATATGTATACACAACATACAACTTTTAAAGCTCATTAGGCTGTTATTGGTTCAAATTCAATACCTTCCAAAGCTAGATTGACCGTGTGACAACAAGAGCATTGCACACTTGTGGCTCCACGGATGTACATGAGAAAAGTGTGACAGCCTCCACAAACTAACTGAGCCATTTCTGTGCCTGCGCATACAAAATACTGATATTTATTTTCCTCACATTCTATTGACTGAAAAAATGGAATAGGTTGCAAGTTAAACTTCTAAGCCCATGTTTGTTTTAGAGTTGGAAAATCAATTCTCACACCTAATGAAAAACACGTTTTAATGTCAATCTATAACTAAAATTACTTTGGAGGTTCAATAGGTCAAAATTAATTTTAATTAAATCAATTCTATCCAACTTTAAAACAAATGAGAATAACCAACACATAAAGAATTAGCGAGAGAAACTGCATACCTGGTGGTGGCACTGCTGTGACTGCATTGCAAACAGCGCAACACACAGAGGTGGCTCCAACTGGATAAAGCAAAAAATTTCTACACCCAGAACAGACAAGTTGACTCTGTGCACCTGGTTGTCAAGGAAGATTTTGAAGTGAATTATTTGCGTGTATCAAATTAATGACCTTTTCCCCCCTCTTTTTTCTCCTTGACAACTTAGCAACAAAGGTTCAAACATTCATCCTGTCGTTAATATTGGTCCATTTTCAAATGGCAAGCCTGACCAGCAAAATAAATTGGACCAGACATCTCCAATCCACAGTTTCCAAACAAATAAAGGGTTTGAGAAGAATTTCACTGAGCACAACACATCTTCATATCCAATCCACCATTTGGGGAAAAGAAAAATTTCCATTCTTCAACCCCTTTAGGTGAATTGGGCATTTTCCATGTTATATCCGTGACTCTATCTAACTTGGTCTTCAAAACAGTAACTTGTTCCCTCTACTAACTATCAGTAGCAAAATTGGACATTAGATTTTTCCAAACAATGGAATAGAATTAAGAAATCAAGGTTCTGTCATTCCATCACCAAACACTGAAAAGATAACTTAAATAATGAGCAAAGAAAGAACAGAATAAGCACGAAACCATACCATTTGGTGGGGGCGTATAAAGAGGTAGGGGAGGGGGTGTCGGGTAAGGGGCAAGTGGAACTGGCATTATCTCAAAATATTATCTTTATCTACTAAACTCTACGTAGTGAATAAACTCTTTCTCCCATTTTAACAACTCCTGGAAAAGATTGAAAAGATTTAATGGGGTGAAAAAGTGATGCACATGAAACATGATGATGGTATACAAAGGCATGGAGAATGAACTATAATTTGCCATTAATACAAGTTAATATCTAGAAAGAAAGTTGGAGAGAAAAACCTATGAAGACAGCAGTAAATTTGCAAACCAGATAACGTAACAATCAAATAACAAGCTTTCTTCCCTTTAGAAAGCCTTGCATGAAGCAACAGGGAAGAAGGCAGCGAGAAAAAGAAATTTAGTTGAATAATGTATGGGGCAAACACATGCTCTTGACAACTTTTACTGATGAAGTGGAGAGAGAATCAGAGAAAAGTTATGGAGCAATAGCATGTATTAGAGGAGATTTGAAGAAAAATAATTAACTAAGAAAACATCTTATGGACCTATGGTAAGAAAAAACACACAATTGTTTTCACCTTCATTTGTTTCATCTTTTTTTAGTGAAAAGAAACTTTCATAGCTTCACTTTCTACTTTCCCTCTATATTTAGGTGATTCTGTTGGGAGCATATATGAAAAAAATGAGTATGGTTTTGAAAGAATATTAGTCATTTGAAGATTATTCACTAGTTCTTGGTCCACTTTTCATTTCCACCTTCACATTGAGGTCAACCCTGGAATGGGAGTTTAGAGTCTACTTCCCTCTCCATTTCTCTTACAAGCTTCGCCGTTGATGGAAAGGAAAAGGTTGTTGTGGGGTGGTACGTAATAAACCATTAATTATCGGTTAATTTGTAAAACTAAGGTGATGTTATTTAAATATTTTTAGTGAAGTTTATCAGTAAAAAAATTATAATTTTATTTTGATAATTTGTGGCATCGTTGGATATGACTTTATTATTAAAATAAAATTTAAATTTAATTAATAAACAACACGAAAAACATCTAGAAATCATACTTAAAATTTTATTCTAACTTCAGTTGATTAGAAAGTTAATAATCCTGAACCAACGTATTTTTCTTTGGTGATAAACATACGAGGGAGAAGCCGATGCAATCTATCCACATTTTGTTTTTTAGTTAGAGTTACCATTTTAACGATACATGATAAGATTACTTGGTCGCTCAATCTAAGATTGTGATTCTGCTAGTCAATTTGCTTTAGAGTAAATTACATTTTTTTATACTTAAATTATACTTCATTTTTTATTATTTAAAAAATTATATTATTATATGAAAGAATTAATATGTATTATAATTTATTTTAATGTGAATGCATTTTTAAGCTTTTTTTTTGTTATTCTCATTATTATCAACAGCTAACTTTAAATTTATACTATTAACTTTAAAACGTGAAATAAAATTTTTTGTGAAGTTTAAAAATTGACAAAAGAGTTTGGAGGAGAGCTTTATTACTCTTATCCGAGTTTGTTCTTGTTCTTCAAAACAATATTGGTTCAACGGGGCAGAGGAAGAGATTAAGCATGCAATCTTTGAAGATTATATATTAGTAGATAAAAGTTATCCTAGAATAATTGATAGTGAAGGAAGGGAAATTTATGAGGTTCAGAATATGGAAGAACAAAATAAAGTATAGTAATGCATATATACCAGAGGGAAAAATAAAAGTATACTATTGGCATTAAATTGACCAGAAAGCGAGAGAATAAGAAGTCGATAAGTGCATACCACTGGAAAAAGCTTCATGCGTCGTTGTGTCTGGGTCCATAGATCACCATGCATGTATTCGTGCAAGACAGCAAGAAGCAAAGGACCACAGAGCTGAACTTTTGTTGGTTTTTCTCCGATTTCTAACCCTCATCCCATATGGATATTCCTCCCATTGTTGTTGATTTCTTCTAAACTAGTCATCAATTATTCAGACCAAAACTTTGCATAACCATAAGAATGGTAATAAGTAGTGTCTAAATAGAATATAGGGCATTCATATTTACACTTGCATGATTAGATATACGTATTCTTATATACATAGAGAGGATAAAAGGTTACAATAATATCGGTGTGATAACTTCGTGATGATAATAGTAACATTTAGTGTTAAGTGTGTAGATATAATGACAACAGATATAATAATAATAATGAATAGCGATAAGATAAAAAAAAATCATGTAATTATAAATAGATATATCAATTGATATGTGTTATAATTAAATTTATCAGGTTATATATTTTAACTTACATAAGTTTATTGTTAAGTAGATTAACTCATAAATTGACTTGTATTTTTTGTTTACTTACATTTTTTTCTTACTTTAAAGTAATTAAAATATATGTAATATTATTGAAATTTGTTTTTGTTAATTAGCCGGTAAATTGAACTTATTTAACTCACATAGACCTGCAACCAGACAAGCTACATATATTTTTAGACACTTGCAAAATTGCAAGATTTTGTGGGCTAACCCCGTGCATAAAATCCATGTATCTACTTCTAAACATAGTTTAAGGTGAGTATAAAGGAGTTTTTTTTCTCCTATTTTATCCTGTTTGTTCTTAACTCAACTCTCTCACCAATAATCGTATAAATATATATATTTTTATGATTTATCAAGACTAAGTAGAGTAAATGAAGAAGTAGAGACTCACTTTGGAAATTGTAGTGACGAAGCAAAATTATCTGAGTCAATTGATTCTGATTCTTCTGAGCTCCTACCGAGCATGAGTCCTATTAGGAAAAGACCAGTATTCCCTCCCTGTATAGTTCCTGGATACGAGTAGGTACACGGTGAAGTAGCCGCCTACTTCTTAGTTTAGAAAAAATAGGAATATTCAATTTTTCGTGGACTATTGTGAAATTTCATTATGGGAACCTTCTGATCCTTACCCCATATCCATCAACCCTTGCCGAGGAGAGGAAACTAGGAACCTTGAATTTATTTTTCAAGGGGGTGCCGGGATGGTCAACACGTTCTTTGTTTAAGAGTATATGTTTAGAGAACTAGGTATAAAACTGCCCTTTGACCACTTCTAAATGAGAGTATTGAGGGTTTTAAATGTAGCGCCGACACAACTCCATCTGAACGGGTGGGCGGCTATTCAAACTTTTAGAGTACTTTGTAAATTTTATTATATAGAACCTAGTGTATGCTTATTTCTTTATTTCTTTTGTACTCGTCCATCAGACTTAGCAAGATGGATATCTTTAATAAGGCAACCAGAATTGTCACTGTTTAAGCCTTATGCTTCATCTTTTAAGGGTTTCAAGACCGGCTACTTCAAAGTAACCGTCCACCTTGTAGGTAGAATTTTTTTCTTTGATAGTGAAAACAATCCCCTCTTTCCCTTCCACTGGACCCGAGTGCCTCGCCGGTACGACTAGATTCCTGATGACCTGTTATCAGCCAAAGAGATATCGACTTTGGATTATTTGAAATCTCTTCCCCGAGAGCTTCTTGCCCAACACATACTCCTAGTGTTAAAATTTCCTCACCCTCGTCTGGACATGGATGGTATATTTCATCCTTATAATTTAGTTTTTGAATCAAGTTGTATTGATTTGACTTTTTGTTTTTATTGTAGGTTTGATGGCTCAACGCGGTGTTCACATACCAACATATCATCAAACCTTGAAGACCAAGACACCTAAAAACACACCCATTGAGGAGCACCGAAACCCTCAACTCGACCACATGCTAGAGATAACCGAGCCTCGTCCTCCTCCCCGAGACCTTGCCATTACAGAGAGCCAGCCCAAGAGGCACAGAGAAAAGGGCAAGGAGAAAGGTAAAGAAAACGAGGCCGAGAGGGAGAAAAAGAGAAAGCATTCTCATTTGAGTAGACTGAGTGGCTCAGAGGGGGCACGAAGTCAATTCCGAGGTGATATGATGGCTGGGGTTAGCAGTTCTACAAACTCTGCTATTCCCCCAGCTATCTTATCTGGCACCTTCCTCATCTCAGGAGTACATGCTGGACGAGTAGTTGCCCCCGACTTGCTTTCTGATTCAGGAAAGGAAGCAGTCAATAACCTAGACCTCGAGTCCTTATGGCGATGCTACGCAGAGCTTCAAATTCGATCCATGATGATGCTCCGAAGACTAGCTTTGGAGCCCATACTCGAGGTAAAAAGGATGCAGAACGAGGACTCCTCCTCTCAGCAAGCTTTGGCCAACAACGAAGAGATTCGGTTGAATCTTTCTGAGACCAACAAAGTTTTGGAGGCCGAGGTGATTCAGTACAAAGAACACTACCATATAGTGGAGAGTCGGCTCCAGGCTACCGAGCAAGCACTGAGGGCTAAAGAGGAAGAACTGGGGGCTTTAAGGGTAAAATCTTTGGGACTGGAGGAGGCCTTAAGGGCCAAATCTATTGAAATGGAAGAGGCACTGGCTCTTGAAAGGAGAAAGGCTGATGTTGAGATGAAGGCCTTTGCTGACAAGTGTTCGGTCCAAGTGGCTATCGAACACGAGTCGGGCTTTAACAATGCTGTTTGCCAATGCTATGGTTTCTACTAAGTGTCAGCCGACTTCCATTTCGATCTTATCAAAGATTTTTTTGGTGGCAGGTTTTTACCATACAACGACGTGGATGATGATGTGGAACCTGACACCGAAGTCCCTTCCCGAGTCGAAGTTAATAACAATGTTCTTGGTCCTGAGGCCCATGGTCTTGCCGCACCCGGTCCTGATGCCCCCAATCCTGATGCCAGAGAGGAGGGAAATTAGAAATAGGTTTTATTTTCTTTGTATTCATGGGCCGATAACGCCCAAATTTTTTAACCTTTTCAAACATGAATACGGGTTCAATTCTTTTCTTGTTATCTTCTGAGTACTTTTATATGAATAACAACCAAATCAAATAGATATAACATTTTTAATGAAATTTCCTTGACACAATGCTTCTGTTTGTCTCATTATTGGCCGAGTAGGGATATTCAGGAGGGAATTAATTCAACTTTAATTAAGTAAAAGTACTTGGGAGGGAATTGTAATAATGATTCATCCTTGGCCGAGTAGGGGTACTCGGGAGGGAATTAATTAATTCAACCTTAGGCAAGTAAAAGTACTTGAGAGGGAATTGTAATAATGATTCATCCTTGATTGAGTAGGAGTACTCGGGAGAGAATTAATTAATTCAACCTTAGCCAAGTAATAAGGACTTGGGAGGGAATTGTAATAACGATTCATCCTTGGCCGTGTAGGGTACTCGGGAGGGAATTAATTCAATTTAAATCAAGTGTTTGATAGAGAGATTTCATTGACACACAAAAACTGAATAACTAAGAAGAAGTATTTCATTGATAAGGTGCCTTGTTAAAAACCTTCCCAGGAAAACTCATTTTCACTTTCTTTTAAGAGGACAAAACCTGGGCGAGGAAAATA